GGGGGGGGGGAGAGAGAGAGAGAGAGGGAGAGAGAGAGAGAGCATACATATGGAAGAGTTTGTTCTAGGAGTTGGTTCTCTCCTACCCTGGGGGTTTCAGGGATCCGACTTAAGTTGTCGGGATTCCCTGTAAGTGCCTAACTGCTGCAAAGTCCCTGGACCTGCCACCCTGGCCCAGTGTTGCACTGTGCATTTCTGCCTGGCCTGAAACTCCCCAGGTACACCCAGCTTACCTTGAACTCACAGAGATCCACCTGCCCCTGTTTCCCAAGTACTGGGATTAAAGACATGTGCCACCATGAACTGCCAATTTTGAATTCTCCACTATTCACCTTGTACCTTCCATCTATTTGTAACTTTTTTGTCTTGTGTGTGCATTTGTGTTTCTATGCCTGCCTGACATCTGTTCTTGCTCTATGTTGTCCCTAACAAAGGCCTTTGCACTGTATTTATTGAACAGCATAGAAAATGTATGGGAAAGGAATTAGGGATACTTTATAGAAACCTTAAAAGACATTATTTCTTATTCCTAGAGACCTCACCTCAAAGCACTCAGTACTGTAAAAATATCATTATTAAGTTGTATCTATAAATATTTTCAAAACTTAGGGTGAATATTTGTTGTATGAGGTCACCTTGTTTGCTGTTTTCAGCATATTACCACAACAAATTATATATATATATATATATATATATATATATATATATATATATATATATACACACACACACACACACACACACACACACACACACATAGGCATTGCTCTCTGGGTCTGGGCATGGAAGAATACATAAAGATTACAGCTGTGCATTGGCTGAGATTTTACTTGAGCCTTTTAGATTTTTTAAAAGTAAATCAAGGGGTTGGAGAGATGGCTCAGCAGTTAAGAGTTTAAGTTGCTCTTCCAGAAAACATGGGTTTGATTCCAAGTACCCATGTAATAGATCACAACTGAAACTGTTTCAAGGAATCCAAAGTTCTGTGGGCTCTGCATGCATGTGATGCCCAGACATACATATAGGTAAAACAACCATACACATAAAAGTCAAGACTGAACATGGTGGTCACATATAATCCCAGCACTTCCAGGGTGGAAACAGAAGATTCAAGGTTATATCCTTAGTTACACTGAGTTCAAGAGTTTAAGTGTAGACTGGTCTACTGTGACTCTGTCTCAAAAACAGAATTAGAGTAAAATAAAGTCCAAAGGGAGGCAAAATAAAATCTTAAACATCAAAGCCATTGAATGTGATTCTGCCATTGGTGGCAAAACAATTTCAAATGAAATAAAAATATTTTTGCTATTAATGTTTGGAGATTTATAATCTAAAAGGTAAATAAGCCTGTCATTACTAACCTTTGTTGATGAATAGTGCTATTGTTTTAGATTGACCCAAAGTGTATGTAACTATCAGTTACTTTTTTCATGGCTGTGATGAAGTACCCAACAAAAGAAACTTAGGAAAGGGGGGTTTATTTAGTTTGGCACACAGAGGATTTAAGCCAGTATGGCTGAGAAGGAATGTGGTAGAAACACAAGGTCTGGCCTCATAGCCTTGAATAAAGAATTACAAGGTTCCCTCTGTTAGGAATTGTATGCAGTGGGACCCCCATATGCAACAGCAGGCTGGCAGGTGGCCCAGTCCATGTGGGCATGGTGGAAGGGCAGTGGGTGGAGATACACAACCCAGATGCTGCATCTGTGTGGAAATGGTTTAATATCATAGATGAAGAGGCAGAAAGAGGGAGAGAGAGGGGGATTAAGAGAGAGGGGGATTAAGAGAGAGTGCGGTGAGGGGTTCAAGAGGTGCACATCTCATGGGAGGAAAGCACAAGAGGAGAAGAGAGAGAAATGGGCAGAATTTTTCTTTAAGAATAGGCTTCTAATTCAGGGCGTAGGGTGGTGCCAAGGGGTGGGATCAGAAAGTTAACACCCTTCTTGTGACAATTTAATTTTTCTTCAAACCTCTGGAAATCACCTCTCCTATCCAAGCATTATCATGCTTGTGAGATTCAATATTGACTGTATCTCAGATCCATTACTGTAAGGGTACTGATCTTGCATTTAGCAGGCTAATTACTCTTTTGCATTGTGCATCAGCATTTTCATAACCCAGAGATTCAATTATTTGTGTAGCTTCTGAAATTGGTATTCTATTTACTGCTGAATTCAATCTTTCTAAGAAATCAGTGAAGATTTCTTTTGAGTCCTGTATAACTATAGTAAATGACTCTGTCCTACTTCTTCAATTCTGTCCCAAGCATTAAAGGCTTCTGTGTGGCATAAAGCAGGGTGTGGTCATCATATAGAAATTGCCTTTCTACATTAGCATAATCACCCTCTCCAAGAAATTGGTCTTGGGAAATTTTCGTACCTCTAGCCCTACTTTGTTGTTCAATGGTCTTAGCTGTTGGAGCCTGCCAACAGTCAGCTGGGTAGCTGGGTAGAGGTGTGTGGATTGAAGAGACAATGAAGGAGACAGAAAAGAGTTGAGAGGTCTGCCAGTCAATGCTGGACAGCCCCGAGTTTATTTCACAGCCAGCTTATATACAGTTTTGAAGGACAGAGGTAGAACAATGCACAGCACAGGCATTCAACCACTATCTATCCTGCCTTGCATCAAGGAGCAGGCAGTTTTATTTTCTGTCTCAATGTAACTCTGGCTGGCATCAGCAGCCTGCGTCGAGCTAGATAGTGTGTTCCTACCTATGGGCTAATCAGGACTTCCTCACAACCTTGGAGCAAGCAAGCCTTGACTCAGAATAGACTTCAGATTCAAACTGGGAAACTGAGTCAGGTGTGGGCTCCCACAATTCCTCCTTTTTAAAATTTATTTTAAGACTCCACTGAGTCTCTCAGATGACTGTGCCTGTCTTAGGTGTTTCCTTACCACACTCCAATCTTACCCGTCATGGGAGCATGAATTCAGTCATTCATGTCCTGTCTTAGGTTGAAAGGAGGCAAAGAAAACTTACCCGTCTTTGGCTACCAGCCTCTGGTGTCAAGTTGGAGGAATGTGCGGCATTTTACTCTGTGGAGTTCTGAGCCCAATCTCCATAACGAGTTCAAAATCAGCTTGAGAATCACAGGCAAACAGACTATGCCTACTAAGGCACATGCTCCAATAGCTACAACACCATTTAAAAGCAAAGTAAATGATGACCATGAAGGGATAGCCCATTTGAATTGTTCTAAAATATCTGTGGCTGTTTTAGCTGCATCAAAATCCAATTTAGCCTTTTTCATTTCTATAATCTCTTGATGTAGTTTAGCCAAATCTAAGTATGCATTAGAATCATTCCAAATTCCTTTAAGATGTGTCTTAACCTTTTCCCATCCAATAGCACTTTCATTATACACAGAAAATGTAACACAAATCCATTCATAATTAGCATGACATTTCAAATGTACTCTAGTTTTCAGGCTTTGGAGTTCATCTTCCAGAAATTGTACCACATTATATAAAGCGTTCAATTTATGTTCCATTTTTACATATATATATGTATATATATATATTTTGCTTGAGTCTCTAATGGCATAGAAACATTCATAGACGATTGATTAACAAACGCTGCTGTCTGAATGAATTGAGACAACTCCACTGAAGCAACAGTAATAGTAGCAAGCATAGTAAAAAGAGCTTCAATTCCTTCTATAACTAATTCAGCAACATGCTTCTGTCTGCTTAAAGCTTTCTTGATTTCTTTAATCACTTTTAACCTTTTATCATTGAATCATAGATCACTCATATATACTGGCAATATTACAAAAGAGGGTTGTTTTAACACTATTACATGAGTATGGTTATCCACTTGAGAAATACAATTGATTAAAATACAATTAAGACATGATACATTAAACATAGACTCATTCATAGAAATATTTGCTTCACCAACTAAAAGAACATAGGGCATTTTGACATAAGCTAAAATAGTTCCTTTTAAAGAACAAACAGGTTTAAAGTGACTGAAGTGTCCTGCAACTGTTCCCATGGCAGCAGCAAGTTTCCAAACATAAGTTTGTGGAGATCCAGTACTGGAATACCATATTCCAGCTGACAGTCCTTGGTCCCAAGATTTTGCTGTAGACATAGGATAAGAGTCACTATAATCTTCCTGATTTCTGGGCCAATGAAGAATACACTGCTGTATCCCTGTGATGTTGTATCTTAAAGGAACAATGCCAGTACATCATCTCCATAACAAAGTTCTGTTTTGTGCATGGAGGAAATTATTGAGGGTGGTAAAATATTACTTGTCCAATTACCTTGAGGAAGGAATAACTTTGTATAACTGGTACATTGTTTATTATGTCCCAGTACTTGTTTTGGAAACACTCCAAGACATCCCTCCAAAGTAATATTTTTTGCAAAACATACAGGAATCCCTTTACCATATCCAATATAAGAAAAATTGTGAGCAATCTGGAACTCTTGGGTGGCAGGTTGATCTAAAAGCCTGGTATCATTAACTGCAACCACAATTTCTTTTCCTTTCCAAGTTGCAAGATGTACAATTGGTGGATCAGGAACATAGGCCCAGTAGATTTCACTCTGGCATCTCTGGATGGTCATCAGCAACATCAGGATCAGCATCTCTGCTTCATACACCACACCAATCTTTCAGGCAACCAACGAGCTTCATTTTCTTCCTGTGAAAAACAGAAACATACCCTCGTCCCCATATCAATACAGGGTCGGGGTCTTCCATAAACCAGTACAGGGATCTTTCCATATAACTTGAGCAAATTTTGTGGTGGTGTCTTCATGCCAAAATTAATCAGCTGCAGATTTTCCACATTTAAAAAATTTAAAATAAGTAAGGCATGATTTAAAGCATTATGTGGTGACTGGGGGTATAACTCCCCCTTCTTTAATTTTTGAAGATGTATTTTGAGGCTCCTGTGAGCTCTCTCAACAATACCTTGTCCTTGAGCATTATAAGGAATACCTGTTTTATGTTCAATTTGCCATTGAGAACAAAATTGATAAAAAGCTTTACTAACATATCCAGTTCCATTATCAGTTTTAATAACTTTTGGTATCCCCATATAGGAGAAACATTTCAGGCAATGAGCAATTATATGCTTCGTAGCCTCACCAGTTGGAGCAGTATCCATTAAAAATCCTGAATAAGTATTAATTGTTACATGCACTTATTTCAATTTTTTCAAATTCTATAATATGAGTGACATACATTTGCCATAAATGATTAGGAAGAAGACCTCAAGGATTTACTCCTAGATGAGGTACAGTCAAATATTGAGGACATGTAGCACATTCATTTACAATTTGGCAAGTAGTTTCTCTTGTTTTTTTTTTTTTTTTTTTGTTGTTGTTGTTTGTTTGTTTTTGAGACAGGGTTTCTCTGTGTAGTTTTGGTGCCTGTCCTGGATCTTGATCTGTAGACCAGGCTGGCCTTGAATTCACAGAGATCCACCTGCCTCTGCCTCCTGAGTGCTGGGATTAAAGGCATGCACCACCACCGGCTGGTATAGTTTCTCTTGTTAAACCTAATTGTTTTCTTAAGCTTTTACTATTCTGATGATGCAAAGCATGTGATCACTGAGCAAGCTCAACTTAAGATAAAGTGATTGAGTAAATTTATCACCTAAAGCATTACCTTCAGCCAATGGACCAGGAAGATTTGAATGTGCTCTTATATGTCCCACAAAATATGGCAATTTTCTTAAATGAATGGCATCCTAAATTTGTTGAAATAACTTTATTTACTCATTAATAGTTTTAATATAAGAAACAGTTTATATAACTTGAAGAGCTCTATAAATGTATTGACTATCTGTATATAAATTAAATGAATTATCTTTCAGAATTTGAAAGATCATTGTGACAGCTCTTAATTCAACCACTTGAGCTGAGGCATGAGTACTTTGAACTACATATCCTTTACCATTAATCACATAAGCTGCTTTCCCATTAAATGAACCATCAGTAAAGACCAAAGCAGCATCTTTCACTGGAGTATGCATTACTACTTTAGGAAAAATAAAGGAATGTATCTGAGCAAACTGTAATAATTGACCAGCAGGATTATCAATTTTATTCAGAAATTGAGCAAAAGCAATTGACCAAGAATCATTATTTTGAAAGAGCCAATCAATTTGTTGTCAAGTGAATGGCACACCAATAGTTTTTGGCTCTTTGTCAAAATACCTTCTGAATTCAACTTGACTCTTTTGTAGACATGCTACAGCTTCATAATATGGATATAATATCTTAATGGGTGAAGCAGGAAGATGTAACCATAAAAGAGGACCATCTTGCCATAATACTGCTGTAGTCTAGTTGGCAGGATATATGCTTGCCAAGGTTGATCATAATTAATATATCTGCTGATATTGAATAGCATTCTCAACCTGTGCAAAACATGTCTTCCTTCTTTTAGTTAACTGTTGAGGTGAATTAGGATCATTATCTCCTTTTAAAATATTATTCAAAGGTTCTAAATCACTAGTAGGTAATTTTAAATAAGATCATAACCATTGATTGTCTCCTAATAACCTTTGACTTTTGAAAATCATTCAATGTTTTTAACTCATCGTATTTCTAATTTCTGAGGCTTTAGTTGCTTAGGATATCTTATATATCCTAAATACTAAAAAGGTGGCTCTCTTTGAACCTTTTCAGGAGCTATAATTAATCCTGTTTGAGCCAAATATTGTTGTATTTGGTCATAGGTAGCTAATAAAATTCCCTCATCCTTATAAGCAAGTAAAATATCATCCATATAATGAATAGTATAAACTTGTGGAAACTGATTCCTAGCCTGTATAGCTTGAGCTGCAAATTTTTGACATAATGTTAGGCTATTAGCCATTCCTTGATGTAAAACTTTCCCATGAAGTCTTTTTATTGGTTCCTTAGAGTTCACAGAGGGAATACTAAAAGCGAATCTTTGACAATCCTGAGGAGCCAAAGGAATAGTATAAAAACAATCTTTTTAAATCCAATATAATTTTATATGTATTACTAGGTATTGCTATAGGGGAGGGCAATCCAGATTGCAAAGCACTCATCAATTGCATAGTTTCATTCACTTTCCTAAGATCTTGTAATAATCTCCATTTACCTGATTTCTTTTTTATAACAAAAAATAGGAGAATTCCAAGGAGAATGAGAAGGCTCTATATGGCTCTATCCAGCTGTTCCTGTACTAACTGCTGGGCTGCTAATATCTTTTCTTCTGTTAGGGGTCATTGATCCACCCATACAGGCTCATCAGATTTCCAAATCACAGGGTCTGCATAGGGTACAGACTGTCCAATGACCCTTCTAAAACTACCCTAATCCAGCTCTCTCAGGCCTTCACTGTGGAAGCAAAGGAGATACATATCCATCATTCCGTTTTCCTAAGCCTTGATCTTGCAATAACCCTTGTTGAAACATTTGATTGGTTACTACTTCATTAGGACTATACAAATAAACTCCCATCTAACTCATAACATCTCTTCCCCATAAATTTACAGGCAGTTGAGGAACAATGTAAGGTCGGAAGGTTCCTTCATGCCCCTCCTCATCTTTCCATATTAATTCATCAATACTTTGTTCAAGACTCTGAGACTGACCAATCCCTTGTAATTGTGTCATGGTCTGTTGTTTAGGCCAGGCAGATGGCCATTGATTAACAGTAATTACAGACACATCCACACCTGTGTCCAGAAGACCAGAAAAACTTTTTCCATGTATAAATATAATTAGTTCTGGATCTTGTGGGCATATAGCTTGTAACCAATAAGCATCAGAAGAACCAAATCCTGCTTTTTCTCTTTTGTTTCATATAGCTTGATTTTTTTTGTTGCACTTGTATATGTAAAATCAATCGAGCAAGCCTCTACCCTGTCTTTATAAGAGAAATTCCATTGAGTGAATGAGTCATTACCTTAATATCCCCTTCATAATCAGTATTTATGACACCTGGAGCAACAAAGATTCCCTGCGTAGTTATACTACTTCTCCCAAGCAAAAGACCAATTGTACCTTCTGATGGAGGCCCATAAATGCCTGTAGGCAGGACCTGAACTCCCATTTCAGGAGTCAGTACTGTGTAGGAGGAGGAACTGAGGTCCAATCCTCCGTTGCCTGGGGTTGCTCTGTAGAGGTCTTGAATGGATTTCCTTGCTGAGGAACAAATGGCTGGAGTGCTCCATAACATTGTCTCAGGGCCTGAGGCTGGCCCCTTTGCTCATTTCTCAACAGAGGATTTCCATGCACATCTTTTATTGACTTACATTCATTTACCAAATGTTTCCCTTTCTTACATCTAGGGTATAATCCAGGTTCCTTCAGCTGTCCCTTATTGGGGCATTGCCTAATCTGATATCCCCTCTGACCACACCCCAAACCACTTCCAGCTGGCCCAACAATGCTCCTTTTATCAGGAGCCTGTCGTCTTTGCTGAAAAAGCACATCTTTTACTGTCTTTCCCTGTATTGCAGTAGCCATAGCCAGCCCTTGAGTATAAGAAGGGCCAATATCAGAGCATAACCAAATATAATCAGAATTATCTCCTTTCTTTCTAAATGATCTAATGGCAGCTTGACAACCTGCATTGGCATTCTCATAAGCCAGGTGTTTTACAAGCAAGAGTCCAGCTTCATTATCCCCAAATATCCTTCTTGCTGCTGTCATTAGTCTGGAAACAAAATCTTGAAACAATTCATTAGGTCCCTGTCTTATTTTTGATAAATCCTCTGTTTGCTTTCCATTGCCAGATAATTTATTCCAAGCTTTCTTTGCTGCAGAACTGATTTGAGCATACACTGCCATGTTAAAATTTAACTGATTATCCACATCTGTATGATCACTTTTACCTGCTAACATCTCAAAAGTAATAGGAATGTGTTGAGCTCTGTTAACATTAGCTATACTTTTACACTGCTCATGGAATTCTGTTTTCCATAATAAATAATCTCTTCCACATAAACAAGCTTTAGCTAATTGTTTCCAATCTTCAGGAGGCAAGGCTTCAATCGCCATAGCTTCTAAGATGGCTTGAGTGAAGGGCGCTGTTGGACCATATTGAGAACAAGCAGACTTTAACTCCTTAAGCTGTTTAAAAGGAATAGGCTTATGCACTCTGACTACATTTCCTTGAACATCCTGCTGTTCCATAACTGGAAACATCTTAAATCCCTTAATACCCTCTGCTTTATTAGCCACTCCCTTTAAGCTAGCTTGTAATGGACTAATAGTTAAAGTTTGCGAAGAGCCTGGAGGCTTCTGAACCATTGCAATCACAGGAGGTTTCTTTACCTTAATAGTTGAGTCTTTAGGAAGGTCTAAACCTGCTATCACTGTAGGGAGAGGAGTGCTTCTTTTCAAGGTAGAAACTTGAAGTGTTTCCAACTTTTTACTCAAAGGAGCTTGCAATTTTATCATTTCTCCCTCCTCCTTAAATTTTTTGCTTGGCTGCTGTTCAACATTCATAGTCAGGAGCAGAGAGGAAATTTTTGCAGCCTTTCCTTTTAATTCTGTTTTACCATCAGAATCTAACTGATTATCCTTATCAGATGACTTCTTAGAGGCATCTATATTAAACAGTTCCTCTGGTGGAACAGAAGATTTATTTTTTCTTGATTTAGGTAACATCTTCTGTCTGTCAGGACAAAGATCTAGACTGTCCCGAATGAGTGTCCAGAGACGAAAAATATCTTTTGGAAGTTTTTCTGGACCATGTTTATCATAATACTGCTGTATTTTGACTCCAATGTGTTTCCAAATCTCTGGGTCCAAAGTGCCTTGTTCAGGGAACCAAGGACAAATCTTCTTTACAAATTCTAAAAATTTACACAGTTGCTTACATTTTACTCTTGCACCTCTAGCCTTTAAAGTATCTTTAAGTAAATATACAAATCTCTGTTTTCTATTTGCTTGGCCCATACTTATTCTTTACACTTATTCACAAAATTTTTTACCCTGGGTTTACTATTTTATTTACACTTATCACTTTTACTCTCGAGTTAACTCACCACAGCTTCCACTTTTCTCGAGTGCACTCCTTTTTCTTCTGTGGTGTCTGTCACAGACTCCTCCGTACCCACCTGGGCGCCACTTGTCGGAGCCTGCCGACAGTCAGCTGGTTAGCTGGGTAGAGGCGTGTGGATTGAAGAGACAATGAAGAAGACAGAAAAGAGTTGAGAGGTCTGCCGGTCAATGCTGGACAGCCCCTAGTTTATTTCACAGCCAGCTTATATACAGTTTTGAAGGACAGAGGTAGAACAATGCACAGCACAGGCATTCAACTGCTATCTATCCTGCCTTGCACCAAGGAGCAGGCAGTTTCCTTTTCTATCTCAATGTACCTCCGGCTGGCATTAGCAGTCTGTGTCTAGCTAGACAGTGTGTTCCTTCCTGTGGGCTAATCAAGACTTTCTCACAGCCCTTCAAGGGGACTCTGGGCTAATCAGGACTTTCTCACAGCCCTTCAAGGAGACTCTATGGGCTAATCAAGACTTTCTCACAGCCCTTCAAGGAGACTCTGAAGGCTAATCAGGACTTTCTCACAGCCCTGGAGCAAGCAAGCCTGAACTCTATTGACTCAGAATAGACTTCAGATTCAAACTGGGAAACTGAGTCAATTGTGGGCTCCCACACTTAGCCTCATCTTTCTACCAGGTTTTCCACTGTAATGGAGGACCAGGCTCCAAGACTGCTATAACCAAGTCTTTCCAGTCTTGAGGGATAATTCTATTACAAGTTGACCACAAGTTTAACATCTGCTTCACATCATGCCATATGAGATTATCACTATCTTGAATCTCCTCAAATCTACTAGTTGCACAAGAGTCCATTCAGCTCTAACAGAGCCTTGAGGATAGCTATCATTTGGCAGTTCCTGTAAGGTAACTGGATAAATTAAGGTTGGCTGTTTAAAAATCTTGGGCTGTTCCTCTCTAACCTTATAATGCAATATTGAGATTGGTTCTCCTTTAAATTCTTCTATCTGGGTCTGAATATCTCTATGATCTGTTTTAATAAGTTTTTCTAAAACTTTTATCTTGGCATTCATATTAACCAACTTTTTTAATGATAAAACAAAAATGATCAAACAGATATTTATAACTGATACTAAATAAATCCCATCTAAATTAACTATCCTCTTATTTATTTGCTTCATTTTCAAACTGTCCAGTGTATTGTTATACAGAGACCTAACTCCCTTCATTGTAATAGTGTTTCCCACTCTTTAATGTTTCCCTCTCTCTTTTTAAGTAATTCCTCCTTTTTTTTTTTTTTTTGGTTTTTCGAGACAGGGTTTTTCTGTGTAGCTTTGCGCCGCCTGTCCTGGAACTCGCTTTGGAGACCAGGCTGGCCTCGAACTCACAGAGATCCGCCTGGCTCTGCCTCCCGAGTGCTGGGATTAAAGGCGTGCGCCACCACCGCCCGGCTCTAATTCCTCCTTTTAAGAATTCCCAATTGTAAAAAAAATAAATAAAAAAAAAAGAAAGAAAAAGAAAAAAGAAAAAAAATGAAAAAGAAAAAAAAAAAAGAATTCCCAATTGTCTCACCAAATGTGCCAATGATGACAGTTCAGATGACAGTGCAGTGTGGGGCTGATTGCTCTGTGCAGAACAGTAGAAGCCTGGGCAGTTTTTATGGCAGCAATGTAGTGTGGCAGCAGCCCAAGGAGGGGGTTCAGGGAAAGCCCACAACCCACCAGGAGAGAAGCCAAAGAGCCAGCTGTCTGCGTGGGGGAATGTGTGAATGTAATGAGTTATGGATATTGTCATTGTTTACAATGGTTGGTTACAAGTTGTTAATTGTTAATGGTCAGGAAAAAAGCTGAACAAGGAGATTAGATTCAGAGGTTTTGTTTAAAAAAGAGAGAGAGAAAGAAAAAGAAAAAAGAGAATATAGATATGAAGTAGATCATCGAATCTACTCTGAGAAAAAAAGATAAAGAAATAATAGGATAAATGGGTAGATAACTGAATCTACTCTAAAACAAAAAAGGGGAAGATATAAAAATGACAAAAGGTAGATTATTGAAACTCTTATGAAAAGAAAAAAGAGAGAATATGAATATGATAAGATAAAAAGGTCAATTTTGAATCTACTTTTAAAAAGGAACTACTTGTTTTAAATAGGATAAGTAATGAAATTTTTTTGTCTGAGTTTATCAAATGTTACTGGATTGGACATTGTTAATATATATAATGGAGTTTTTATCTGAATGTGTCAAATGTTAATGGACTCAACATCGTTAATATAATTCTTGACTGTATATACTGTATATACTTATTGGATAGTTTTTCTTGTATTAATTATAAGCTTTTTAAAATTTTAGACAAAAAGAGAGGAAATGTGGTGGTATTGTGTTCCCCAAAATATTGTGTACCCTAATAAACTTATCTGGGGTCAGAGAACAAAAAAGCCACTAGATACTTAGGCTAGAAAATGTTGGCACTAACGCCTTTAATCCTAGCATTCCAGAGGCAGAAATCCATCTGGGATCTCTGTGAGTTCAAGGCCACAGTGAAAACAGCCAGGCATGGTGACTCACGCCTTTAATCCCAGAAAGCCAGCCTTTAATCCCAGGAAGTGATGGTAGAAGGCAGAAAGATATATAAGGCATGAGGACCAGGAACTAGAAGCATTTGGCCTGGTTAAGCATTTGGCCTGGTTAAGCATTCAGGCTTTTGAGCAGCAGTTCATCTGAGACCCATTCTGGATGAGGACTCAGAGGCCTCCAGTCTGAGGAAACAAGACCAGCTGAGGATCTGGTGAGGTGAGGTAGATGTGGCTTGTTCTGGTTCTCTGATCTTCCAGTTCACCCCAATACCTGGCTCAAGTTTGATTTTCTTAATAAGACTCTCTAAGATTCATGCTACAGCTGCTACTCCTGAGGTTTTTGGACCCAAAAGCCTATGGAGTTTGCTGCAGATGGGCTGCAATAGAAAAATCACAAGTCACTCAGAGGCTTGAGGAAAAGAAAATAAAAGAAAACCTTAGCTGGCAGGGTAGTAACTCCAGCCATGTGCAGCTCTGGCCTGTGGTTGCAAAGCTACAGGCAAGCGGCTGTCTCATGAATTTGTGCCCCAAAAGTTGGATACCAGATGTAGTGTGAATTCTAATTGGTCTTAATAATAAAAGCCAGGAGCTGGATGTTTGTATAAATGCTGAAAGATCAAAGAGACAATGGAGCAGCCAGCCACCTCTTACCTCACCAACTCCTCAGCCGTAAAAGGGGGCCGAGCTCCTGTCTCTGCCCGCCTCATATTCTTCTCTCCACCCAGCTACACCACTTCCTGTTTCCTCCTCCCTTGTGCTGGGATTAAAGGTGTGTGCCACCACTTTCCTGGCCAGTATGGTGAGTTAACTGGTGGCTAGCTGCACACTCTGATCTCCAAGCAAGCTTTATTTGTTAAGAGCACAAGCAAAATATCACCACAGTCTTTTGAACCTGAAGTATCATAATTCCTCCCTGAAATGACTTTAAATACTTGGAGACCTCGAGGCGATTGAGAGCTTAAACACACAGACTATTTTCCCCAAAAAGCAGCTTGGTGAGCCAGCAAGATTACTCTGTGGGTAAACATGCTTGCTGTGCAAGTCTGGCAGTTACTTGAGCTTGATCTCAGAGCCCCTGTAAAGGGGGGAGAAGAGAGCTGACTCCTCAACGTTGTCCTCCAACCTCCCACCACATAAATAACCATAAAAGAAGCTGCAGAGGAAGATGACCTGAAAGATGGGTTAACTATTTGAAACTCATGGTTTTTTTTTTTAATCAAGAAATGCCATTTTGCTTCTAAAAGCCAGGAAGCTATGAAAGACCATAGGATGTCAACTTGAAGAAAATGACCAGAAATAATCTGAACAGTCATTGCAAAACTATTGCAGTGGACCAAAACAAATTACAGAAAAAAATTATTAATCTCCAATAAACCTAAAAATCACAACCTTTATTGAGTTTGCTAGGCTTAGTTCATTCTGAATGTTTTGATGGAATAAAAGCTGCTGTGTGTGTGTTGTAGAGTCATGTGCAGAATCCAGAGGAGGATATCGGGTACCTTGATTTGTCACTTTGCTGTTACTCATGAAAGCAAGGTCTCTCACTGAACCTAGAATTAGGATGGCAGCCAGCAAGTCCCAGCCTCCCCCACCCCCAGCCGCACTGGAAATCCAGGTACATGCTCGATGACACAACAACCAGCTTCTTCCATGGACTCTGGGGATCTGAACTCAGGACCTCATGCTTGTGCAGCCAGCACTGTTACCCTCTGAGCCACCTCCCCAGCCCTTCTCTGCTCTTATGCCAAAAGATTTCATACACTGAAAGTGAGTACTTGAAGAAATGCTGTCTCGGGTATCTTTATGTTTATAAGGTATCTCCAAAATGTAAATATTATGAGAGATGAGGATACAGCTTACAAGTAGAGGGCATGTTTAGTGAGTGCAACATTCTGAATTCTGTACTTAGTACCACCTACCTACCTACCCACTCAAGTATAAATACTCAATTAAGCAAAATGTGGTTAATGATTAATGGTATTCACATACCCTGATCTTTTGCCCCTCGGAAAATATGGATAGTAACTAAAGACATGACCACTTCTCTCATATTCATCAAGTTCTACATTATCATGGAATTTTATATGATGTAAGCTTGTGAGTCCTAGATAGAAGACTTCCAGTTCTCACCATTGAACAGTCTTGAATAAGTTGTGAGTTATATAGAAATGCTTTCCCACAATCTTCACATTCATAAGGACTCTTTCCCTTGTGCATTTACTGATGCTGATTAAGTTAAGAATCATGACAACAGTCCTTGCAGCGACTTTCTTTCACCAGGATGGATTTTCTGATGTCTATTAAGCTCCGAGCCACGAAGAAAGGTCTTCCCACATTCCTTACATTTACAAAATTTCCTTTCACAGTTTTTCTCATGTTGAGCAAGGTATGAAGCCCAAATGAAAGTCTTTCCACATTGCTTACATTTGTAAGGTTTCTTACCAGCATGAATTCCCTGCTGGATTTCGAAGTTTGAGCTCCAGATGTAGGGTCTCCCACATTTCTCACATTCATAGGGCTTCCTACTCACATAAAGCCTTCTGATGTTGGGTAAGATTTGTAGCATGAATAGTTTTTTTTTTCCACATTCTTATATTCATATGATTTTTTCACTATTATTCATTTTCTGATATTCAGTTAGGTATGAGGCATGAGTAAAAGTTTTCCCACAGTCTTAAATTTGTCAGGTTTAATACCAGTGTGAATTCTGATGGTTAGTGAGATGTGCTCTCTGGACAACGGCTTTTCTACATTCATTGCATTCAGAGGACTTTTCACCAGTATGAATTTTCTGATGTTCACTTAGGTACAAGCCATGAGTAAAAGCTTTCCCACATTCCTTACATTTTAAAAGTTGCTCTGATGTCCAATAAGGTCAGCTTTATGACTATAGACCT